ACCGTCTACTTCACACACGTTAATTAGTTCAGTGATATCTTTGGTTCCAGGTAAACTACCTGGTTCCGGATAGTTTATCTGTTAAAACACTGAAGTTTCTCTGTAAGATCCAGGTTATTGTTTTTTTATACGAGTATCCGAAATATTACAAAGCAATGGGGGCTATCACTTTGTTTATATTTTTTGATGAATTATATACTACAGAACCCACAAAGCTAATTATAGATCATGCTGGGTAACCTGGTTTGTGGGTCTTAATTAATTCATACATGTATAGGAGTATGGCAGCTCTGGCTGACGATTATTTTATATGATCATCAGTTCTCGCACGAAATGCTAATTCTTCCTCAGAGCTCTACGTATCTGCAGCCCTGAGTTCTGGGAAGAAGAATGCAACTACACTCGACACACATATTCTCGTCTTCACCTTCCCCTCTCATTTTATCCAGGATTCCAGACGAAGAGCTCAAACCATTCTACCCAGTCCTCCGACAGCCAGAAATAACCAAACATTTCTTGTGTTATCTTGCAGTGATATAACGATGCACACACACACATACACACACACACACACACACACACACACACACACACACACACACACACACACACACACACATACACACACACACACACACACACACACACATACACACACACACACACACACACACACACACACACACACACACACACACACACACACACACACACACACACACACACACACACACACCTCATGAGCTCTTGACAAGAGTAACATGCTAATCACCACTGTTTCAATTGATCTCACCAGGAAAAAATCTCCATGTGATGTTTGCTCTAAGGAAATTAGAATATACACCATCCCCTGTGGGCAGCACGATAAGGTTTATGTGGGAGGAACAAGGAGAGACTTGTTCAAGAGAATTCGTGAATGTAAAAATGCCTGCAGCAGCTATGACGCTAACCATACTTGCATTACGCACAGAAGACCTGAGGGGCGTCTCATTCTTTGGTAAGATGCTAACTTGATCTACTGGGAACCAGATTGACAGCAAGGAAGATGCCTTGAAGCTTTACTCATCGCCACCTCCAGCACCATCTTTCAAAAAGCTGGTAGTTGTAATATCATGGTATTAGAACACAATTCCACCAGACTGTCACCACGTGACTTGGCCGTAAGATTGATTATTCTCCACTTCCGGCGTCCTGCACTATTACCACTACTACTACTGCTACTTCTACAAATTGATTGCAAGGTATTGAAGAGCACACGGTTACTACTACTACTATTATTACTACAAACCATACCCCGGCCGGGATTGAACCCGCGGTCAGAGAGTCTCAAAACTCCAGACTCTTTGACCGCGGGTTCAATCCCGGCCGGGGTATGGTTTGTTTGCAATCGTGTCATTACGATTTCGTGAGTCATTACTACTACAAGTTACTATTAATAATGCCATCACTATGCTCTCCAGCCCCTATGTATACTGTAGCCGGTCTCCCTTCATACTCATGTATTTGAAGTGATCAAGGTTCAAGGATCTATGCGTATTCAATGAGGGTGTCCTAAGTGAATGCATTCGTGTTCCTTTTCCTCAACTTGTCGGCAACAGTTTGAGTGACATTTTACCACAATTAGACTCAGGTAAAATTTTACCTCGTTTCAAGATAAATCCTAAATTCCCGGCTAAATATAAAATTATCAACAAATTGGTGAGAGATGCAGAAATCAGTTGACTTCCTCAGTGTTCTCTTAACTGATTCATTAGGACACCATCCCAATAACCATATCACTAACCATACAAAACGCAAGAATAGTGTTGATACAAACTTTATTATCATTTTGGAGTCGTCGATTTCATATCTGGGGTCCTCATCATGAATGATGACCTGGTTATCTCCCTCCATCCTGGCCCAGGTCATGTTGGGGTCAGGAGAGCCGTAAGCCTCACAGTGAAGGGTGGCTGCCTGACCCTCCAGCACCACCACGTCTTCAGGCTCCGTCAGCCACTCTGGTGGAAGCGCTGCAAGATATTTAAATACTGTCAGTGGGACAGAACCCAGACCACAAATGTGACGTCCGTATCAACTAACCAACAAAGTATAGGTGAAAACTAGATGACTTTCTGCTCCTCCCAGACAACAAGCAAACTATCAAGTTATTGATAGTTTGCTTGTGATCTGCGAGTAAGATGTGAGCTGTTTCAGCTTCGGTATTGTTAGTTATACTGTTTAGGTGGAATCTTCTATATTATATAGTTTGTTACGTTTAAGAAAATGTAAGATATTTACTGAGTGTTGTAACACTGGCCTTAGATGCTATGATGTTACCACTTATCTCACGGCTACCTTAACTCTACTCTTACACACACACACACACACACACACACACACACACACACACACACACACACACACACACACACACACACACACACACACACACACACACACACAGACGGAGTACAGTCTAGGGGGCCAGAGACTACAAACCTCACTTAAGGAAAAAGATGTTGGGGTGAGTATAACACCAGGCACATCTCCTGAAGAGCACATCAACCAAGTAACGGCTGCAGCATATGGGCGCCTAGCAAACCTCAGAACAGCATTCCGACATCTTAATAAGGAATCGTTCAGGATCCTGTACACCGTGTACGTTAGGCCCATATTGGAGTATGCGGCACCAGTTTGGAACCCACACCTAGCCAAGCACGTAAAGAAACTAGAGAAAGTGCAAAGGTTTGCAACAAGACTAGTCCCAGAGCTAAGAGGTATGTCCTACGAGGAGAGGTTAAGGAAAATCAACCTGACGACACTGGAGGACAGGAGAGATAGGGGGGACATGATAACGACATACAAAATAATGAGAGGAATTGACAAGGTGGACAAAGACAGGATGTTCCAGAGATTGGACACAGTAACAAAGGGACACAGTTAGAAGTTGAAGACACAGATGAATCACAGGGATGTTAGGAAGTATTTCTTCAGCCACAGAGTAGTCAGTAAGTGGATTAGTTTGGGGAGCGATGTAATGGAGGCAGGATCCATACATAGCTTTAAGCAGAGGTATGATAAAGCTCACGGTTCAGGGAGAGTGACCTAGTAGCGATCAGTGTAGAGGCGGGGCCAGGAGCTCGGACTCGACCCTTGCAACCTCAACTAGGTGAGTACAACTAGGTGAGTACATATACACATACACACATACATACACGCACACACACACACGCACACATACACACACACACACACACACACGCACACACACATACAACAGGCCTAGTGTCTAATCGACATGTGCCTAGGACAAAATGGTAACTAACACACACACATATATATATATATATATATATATATATATATATATATATATATATATATATATATATATATATATATATATATATATATATATAATATATATATTATATATATACACATGTAAAACAACCGCTGTGAAAGAGTAGTGAAATTCCAAGTGCTTTCGTTACTACTCACATTGTCAAGGAACTCTCATAGTTCCTTGACAATGTGAATAGTCACGAAAGCGCTTGGAATTTCACTACTTTTTCACAGTGGTTGTTTTGCATATTTTAAAATCACCTGTTTACTGTGATCTTATTGCATATATATATATATATATATATATATATATATATATATATATATATATATATATATATATATATATATATATATATATATATTATATATATATATACAGTGGAACCTCAAATTTCTAACGTATCACTTATCGAACTCTTCGAAAATAGAACCCTTTTTTCGAACCAACTTTGTCCCTATTATCGAACTCGCCCCTATTTTCGAACCGCCGGGTACCAGACCTGTCCAGCAGCCCACTCTGTCTGTGTCCCCAAGCAGGCGCCGTGAGTCAGTCTGGTTTTGTTGTTGCTTGAGTGAACACTAACCTGTGCTCTCATTTAAACATTTTACGATTATTTCATTGTGTTTAGTGGGCCCAAAGAAGCTTGCTAGTGGTACCTCTGTAGTAAAGAAAGCGAGAAACACCATAGATGTGAAGAAGGAAATAATACAGAAGTGGAATGATGTCCAAGTGGAATGATGTCCAAATGTTTGTGGAGAAGTACCACCCTGAGCAAGCTGAAACAAGCCATTTTTGCGACAAGTTCAGTGACACAACCATGTCCCATTTTAGGGAAATCTTGAAGAGGCACCAGAAAGAGAGGACTGTGGACAGTTATTTTTGACAGTTATTTTTTGAGACAGGGGTCCAGTGACTCTCAAGCTGGTCCCACCAGCGTTAAAAGACAGAAGGGAAGTAACCCCAGAGAGGGCTTTACCTGACGTCCTCATGGAGTGAGATTCTCCTTCCCAACACTAACCCCAACTCCCTCTCTCCTCCTCACTATCTTCCAGATGCCATCACCAATCTTCAGTAAAGGTAAGTAAAATGTTATTTTATATGTTTATTTAAATTTACTAATACAAAATTGAACACTATATTTGTTGTGTGTATGTAAAACTATAATTAATCTCTATAAAATGTAATTTTTTGTGAATATTTTTGGGTTTATGGAACGGACTAATTTTATTTCCATTATTTATTATGGGAAATATTGCTTCACTTTTCAGACTTTTCGAATTTTGAACTAGCTCCTGGAACGGATTAAGTTCGATATTTGAGGTTATATATATAATATATATATATATATATATATATATATATATATATATATATATATATATATATATATATATATATATATATGTATATATGTATATATGTATATATATATATATATATATATATAATATATATATATATATATATATATATATATATATTATATATATATATATATATACATGGCTTAAATAGCAGAGTTCTTCTTGCCAAATAAGGCAAGCGAAAATTTGTGTATGCAACCATTTCGTAAAAAATCATTCTGACCCCATGAAAAAAAAAAATTTTCATTGTGTTTTTTTTAAAATTATTGTAAATTTTTAAAATGTATTTTTTTTGGAAATTTTAAATT